GAATAAAAATATATGTTTTTCTGTTTTTACTTTATTGGAATCGAAACTAGGAATTGTTAAGAATCAGAACTGATCAATTTCAATCGATACCCAACCCTAGTTACCGACCGCTGCAGGGTTTTATTGGGAAATGTAATCCTGCGTCGCAAGAAATCTGGGCCTGTATTCACAAAACATCTCAAAGCAGCTCGTAACTCGCCGATTTAGGAGACGATCTTAAAAATAATGGGCGTGTCAGTCCTAAGTGTAGGACTCCTAAATGTTTGCTCTAAGAGTGTTTCACAAAGCGTTTCAAACTAGCTCCTAAATCTGTGAAAGGTTAGGAGCCGTGAAGAGGAGTCCTCAGCCACAAACTCTCCTAAAATAGCTGTTTCCGGCAATCTGCCTCAGAACAGAAACATCTTAGAAACGTCTGACGATAATGAGCTTTTAGAAAGATATCGCCTTTGGTTTGGGAGGTTATCCTAACTCCAGATTCTGCTTTGATTATATCCTTGTCTTCATTAAGCAGCTGCTGAAGAAGTAAAAGCTGTTTTACGTTTGCATGTCTTACTATCAGCCATGATTATTCTGCTCCGTTTATTAAAACATCCACATCCACTAATTATGAGGAGCACACACGTAAGAGGCTGACAATTAACTGAACACACACTTGTTTAATTAGTGACACTTAGCCTGCATTTTCAAATCTGAAGAGTTCATTTGCAGAAACGGATAACTCATGTTTTTTCATTGTGCATTCCAATTAATCTCAATCAAACTGCAGTTGGGTTATTTTGATTAAAGTTAAAAAAACAACAACTAAAAAAATACATCTAACTAACACAATAAAAACATGATGACATAATAAAAAACATGACTTTTGACTTATTTGAATGTGGCAATTAACATTTTTATTTTTAAACCTTTATGGCAACATAATATCAAGCTCTACAATATGTCCATGAATAAATCTCTGACAGACCATCAGCCAATCACTGTGTGCATAGTTAATAAGCGTGATGACATCACCCATAGCAACGAGGTAAACCCCGCCCCCTTACTCTGAGCTCAAGACTTCTCTCTATTCCTTAGTACAGGTTAGTCTCCGCAGCTCTGTGAATAGGTGTGAAGAGAAAACTGTCAGCTAAAAGCTTTTTCTGCCATTGAGGAGAACTCTCAGTGGTAAGATGAAGCGTTTAGTGAACTCGGGCTCAGGTCTCACCTGGTTCCCGTCCTCCTGCGCGCGGCGGATGGCGTTCTGCTTGGAGTCGATCCAGTACAGCTGGCGGTCGAGCGGGTCGTAGTCGATGGCGCGCACGTTTCTGAGGCTGTGGATGGGCAGCATGATGTCGGGGCTCTGCAGCTCGTCGATGACCATGCGGTTGATGGCTGTCTTCTGACTGCAAAAGAGATGTGCGCGGTCACACACACACACACACACACACACACACACACACACACACACACACACACACACAGACAATTAACCTTTCATCATCAAACAGTGAGCGTCCGCTTCCAGTTCACTCCTGAACCCCCTCACGTGTGTTTCTGACCCACAGTGCAGTGCCAGATTAAACTCAGCTGTTGAAATGGACACTGGTTCACTTCATCAGAACCCAAAAATAAACAAACAATGGTGATAATCTACGCTCACCGTGTGCTGTCGTCAGTGTTATTTTGGTATCAGTATTATACTATTACAAATTTTGTTAATATTTTTAATTAGATTTCATATTTTGTTTTTACTTTAAAATTGAAAATTTTACCAATTATATTCGGTTTTAATTAGGGCTGCAACAAACAATTATTTTGATAATCGATTAATCTAAGGATTATTAGACCGATTAATCGTCGATCATTTCACTGATTAATCAGTAGACTTTGATTATTCAGCTTTTGCAATGTTAAAATATTGAGTAATACATATTCTAATACATAAATAAAGATAATCACTTCAGCTTTTGAAAATCATAATTATTATATGATTAATTTATAGAAATAAATATATTTGTCTGAGAAACTCTCTTATTCACCATTTAATTAGCTATATGAAACATTATTCTGCCTAACATCTCCTTTTGTAAGTCTTTTATATGGATAAGAAACAAAATAAAGGTAAGTGATAAGACGCTTTATTTTTGGATAAACGATTTTATTCACAACAATCTCTAAAAATACTTTATAGGGTTGTTATAATAATCCTGAGCTAGATCAAGCTTCGATCTCTGCAAACCAAACCATCAGTTTAATGAAATAATATATTTTGCCACTAATAAACAGATGTATCGCTAGCTAGCTCCACGCGGGAGAGCTGCTTTATAACAGAAAATAAAGCTGTGATTCTAGCTGAAAGCGACACCGACTCTGGTTTTTCATGTTTAAGGCTGTCTGCTGCATAAAGTATTATATAAATAAACGCAGAGCTCGTGCAAACATCACAGCGCTGTAATCAGATGCTTTCTTAACTGCTGCTTTCTCACCGCTGTCAGCTTTTCTTGTTTATTTGGTTATTGAGAGGAAAGCGCGCAGCGTATATTTACACATTCATCCAAACGCTGTTTTGATTAGAGTATATATTTTTTGTTTGTTTGTTTTTTAAAATATGTATACCTGTGTTTGTGTATGTATGTAAGTGGTGTCTAGTTGCCAGAGGAACTTCCACATGAACGGAAAAAAGTTTAACTAACTAATTAATTATTATGAATTAGTTTTAGTTAGTTATTTTAGTACTTCAAGTGAAACTAAATGAAAAAAGTTTCTTTGGCAAGTAGCTAATGTTAATTTTTGTGACTTGAAATAACTTTTATTTTACAGCATGAATGCGTGGTCTAAGTGAATAGTAAACAGCTGCTGAGATTCGCAGCGTGGAGGTTCGGACCCGGAAACGACTAAACGAGCGCATTATTGTGGCATGTGTGATGTGAACCCGCCCCTTGATCACATGACCACTACTGCTCTAGTGTGAGGGAGTTTACAGTCACTGTCACACAAACACACGGCCTGCAGGATTATAAAGCCTGTTTTTACTCCGTCAAATGCAGAGCGAGACGCTCCGGACTCATACGGCCTTCAGGTTTCCAGCATCTGCAGCTTGGCTGCAGCTCGTCCACCCCAACAGCTTTAAAAAGAAAATCTCGAACAACGGCTCGCATCTCCAGGACGGCCCCCGGCAGCTCTTTCTGCGAGTAATCACGTTTGAGACCCGCCAAACCAAGCCGAGCGGTAAGCAAATGCACACGGCGCAACGTGACGAGGCGAAACACCATCATGTGCTGAAGAAAAGGTTTTGAACCACAAACTCAAAAAATCCTTGGAAAATCTGGATCCCAAACCTAACAGGAACCAGACACGCTCACAGACATGCATGTGTGTGAGTGAGTGTGTGTGTGTGTGTGAGAGAGTGAGTGAGAGTGTTTGTGAGTGTGTCAGAGTGTGTGTGTGTGTGAGTGTGTGTGTGTGTGTGTGAGAGAGAGAGAGAGAGAGTGAGTGAGTGTGTGTGAGCTCACCACTGCAGGTCTTGTTGTCGTAGTTGAGTGAGTAATGCGCGGGGCAGCCGCACACGAAGCTGCTGACAGGAACAGCCAGACACAGGTGCGAGCAGTGGCCGTTGGTGGAGGCGCAGGCGTTCCAGCCGCTCTGTCTGGACGAGTGGAACACCAGGATGTCCATGACGTAGTCCAGGTGGCCCTGTATGACGGTGCGGTTCTGCCCGCTGGTCTTGTTGGCCCGTTCGATGCTGCGCTGGCTCCAGTCGGTCCAGTAGATGTAGTCCTGGTACTGCGTGAGTCCGAACGGATGCGGCAGATCGTCAGCGATCACCTCACGCTCCAGACCTGAACATCACAACAACATCAGGATCAGCTTTATTCACCAGGTCTGCGCAGACACAAGGAATTAATTGTGGTTTTTCAAGGTGCTCTTGGTACATACATGTATACATATATATCCGACATGAGAACAGAAAACATTTAAATAATAATAATAATAATAATGTGTATGAATCTGGAACAGAAGATTTATGTACAGATTTGTGCATTATTTACTCTATATACAGCTGTATAAATAAAAAGATATGCATATGTATTTACATAGCACTCATCACAACTGACACAAATATATGAAATAATATAGTTTATATTTTATATAAATCTATATTTATAAAAATGTATTATATATATAATATTTATTTTTTATTTTACTTTTGTTCATAACCTATGTAACAAACAAGTAAATAAAACCCTAACCTCGATTATATATAATGTGAATATCACATATAAAATGAATTAACTACACTAGTTAACATGAACTAATAAATTCTTTGAAGTATTTTTTTATTGTTAATCTCAGATAATTTCAATATTCACTAATACATTAAAATCAAAAGTTGTACCTGTTAATATTATTTAATAGACCTGAGCTCACATGAACTAACAATGAACAGTTTAATTTAATTCAATTATATTATTAATTAATTTAATTACCATTGTGTATGAAATGTGCTATATAAATAAATTTGCCTTGCCTTAAAAATAATACATTTTTATTTAATACACCCTTTTTATTTTAAAATATAATAGTATTATCACACTTTATTTTGTT